GGGGGGGTGCTCCCATGGCCAGGAAGGCTGTCACCCCCTCCTGTGCAGGGAAGAGGACAGCCCCGGAGACACTCTCAGATGACCCGCTGCTTTTAAAATAAAGTGAGCTGGGACGGCCCCAGCCCTGCCCGGTGCAGCCACCCAGGTACGGAGACACGCGCACTATGGGGAGCTGCCACATGGCCAAGGACACCCCAAACCTCCCGGGTACATCCCAGGGAGCCCCCCAAGACTCACTTAAGACCCCCTTCTCTCCGCATCTCCTCGGTGCTATAGTTGGTGTGACACCCGGCGCCATTCCAGTTGCCGGTCATCGGTTTGGGGTCCAGAGTAGCCACAACCCCAAAGTCCTCGCAGACGCGGTGGAGGATGAACCGAGCCATCCAGAGGTGATCACCCATCTCGATGCCTTCGCATGGGCCCACCTGGAATTCCCACTGGAAGGGGCGAGTGGATGCACCGGTGAGGACAAGCAGGTTTGTGCAATCACATCCCTGCCACCCCCCCGCCGAGGGCTGCCAGCCTGGGGTACAGCTGAGCTTTACCTCTCGAGAAACAGCAATGGGGAGGAGGAGCATTGAGTTAAGCAACAGGACAGCTTTGGCATGCAAAAAGAAGGGAATAAATCGCTGATAACTAATTAGAGCAAATTGGGGGGGGTGTTAATTAAAATGGAGGTAAATAAGCACCACATCTGCCTTTGAGGCTGGCGCTGGAGCTGCTGGCGTGCTGGATCCCCCAACTCACACTGCTAACAAGGCACGGGCCTCACGAGGAGCCTGTTAGTCCTTCCCAGGGCTGATCCCTCCCCGGCTGGAGTCGGGGTTGCGCCACCCACGGTGACTAAGCAGGGGGTGACGCATTTACGGCTGCTGGCATGGCCTGGCCGAGACGGAGCCCAGGATGCAGAAAGCAGCCAAGAAGGACCCTGAAGAAGTCAGGGCAAACAGCGGGGTCATTAAAAGTCCTGCCTCAGCGACACCGCAGATAAGCCCCCTGCTTATCGCCGCCACATCAGCGGCAGGAGAGTCAGCGATTCGCAGCTGCAGGGCCAAATCGCCGTCGGTCAGTCTGGCCACCCGCCTAATGCAATCAGGGACTCCCTCCGGCTAACTCCTAAATCAATCCAAATCCCCCCAGCTGCTTCCCAAGGCCACATCCCATCCGAGCTTCCCGGCTCCCAGGGTAGGGGAGCAGGACGCAGAGCCCCAACGCTCCACGTGCTGTTCCTGCAGCCTGCCCCGGCTCACGCCATCCCCTGCATCCCTGCTCCGTGGGGGAAGGAAAGCACACGGGAGCACCCGGCTCCGCACAGGCTGCCAGAGCTCAGGCTGAGCTGTTCAAGGAGCTCACCTGCCATTTGGCCCAGCTGCGATTTCACTTGCCCGCCCCAAAAAGCAGGGATTTGCACGCCAGAGTGAGTTAGGAGAAAATCAAACACGCACGTTTTCATCCTAGCTGTGCGAGTACTCCCATCTAGACAAAACCAGTGCAGAGAGTCACTGGATTCAGCAACCCGGAGGAGCGGGGAGTTGCTGGGTTAGTCCGGCCTCACACTAACTTGTATCCATCCCTGGAAAAGGGGGCTGCGCGGGGCCGTCCACACGTACCTGGGAGGGCATCACCTCTGCGTTGGTGCCACAGATCTTTACCCCCGCGTAGAGGCATGCCTTGTAGTGGGACTCCACGATATCACGCCCGTACACCTTATCTGCTCCAACCCCGCAGTAATAGGGGCCTGGAAAGGAAAGAGGAGTCACCGCCCAAGTAAAGCTTTTGGGAGCAACAACAACACTGCAGTGTAATCCCACCACTCCCAGGTACCAGCCATCATTTGGCAGAGCATTTATGGGAATTAAATGGTGCTGCCCTCCACGGGGGGCACCGAGCCACCCACCCCTACTCCAGCAGCGTGAGCAATTCATCTGTGCAACCTCAGCCTTATCTAGGCAGTTAAACAGGACTTGTAATGCATCAGCTGGGAGGTGGCCAGGAGATAAGGAAAGCTTGGCTTGGTCTGCCTTGAGGCACCTCGCTGACGCTGACCCTCGGAGCACGTCAAGCATCCGAGATTGTTCTGACAACAGCCGACATTGTTCATGGCTAGAAAGTTAAACTCGCAGGGGCTTTATATGGCTCTTCCTCATTCAAGCAGGTCAGACGAAGATCTTCTTCCCGCCTGGGGGAAGGGAGATGTTGAAAGCGGCTGGTCCCCACAAAAGGCTGATTAAGTCAGGTTGGGAAACCCCTGGCCCTCTCCCAGGAGCGAGCACTGGGGCTCACTCGCACTGCAGGAGGGCACGATGTGCCGGACCTTTCCCGAACAGCCACGGGGAGGAGGTTTTTCCAGCCCTTGCCAAACAAGTCATGCAGCTGAGCTGTTTGTGCAACCAGGGTCTGGCGGGAGCGGCACTGCCGGCCAGCTCACGTGAGCCACCGGGCACCCGGCGCTCTCGGCAAACAGCTCCTGCCCGGTGTCAGCTGCGATGTGCCCAAGGCTGGGGATGGGATGCCTGCTGCCAGGCAGCGGCAGGGGTGGGGCCGAGGGGGACCCCTAGGAGGGAGCACTTACCCTGCGGGCCAGGGAAGCCGTTGTCGGGCCAGCCGTAGGGGTGGCCGTTGATGCCCAGCAGCGTGTACTCCTGCTCCATCCCGAACCAGGGATGGCTGTCCTTAACCAAGTCCATGACTTTCTTGCACGTGTGTCTCAGGTTGGTCTCTGGGAGCAGAGAGGTCCAGGTTAGACGCGTGCCGTGGGAAGGCACCCCCCACGCTCTGCTCCATCCCACTCAGAGGTCGAGACTCCACCGCTGCCAAGCACTTCCCACAGAAGCCTTAAGGAAACTGGTGAGAGGATCCCCCCTTCCTGCAACACGCTTTGCTCACCAGTTTCCTCCCCGCAGAGCTGCTCCATTGCCACAGCAGCAGGCCACAGGCCAAAGGGTTTAATTAGCCTAAAACCACCGCCGATGGCCCACGAACATCCTCCTCTTATACACCGAGACACCAGGAGCCATGCCGCAGCCCTGTCCTGAGGGCACCCAGCAGGTCTTGGGAACAGGGACTATACATCTCCCATCACTACTTCACTCCCATCCTCTTTCTACCCGCCTCAGTTTAATTATCCTTATCTTTCTCCTGCTCCGTGGTTTTGGTTAGCATCCAGGCTGGCTGGCCCTGGCTTGGCCCTTCGTGGTGGCAGGGGTGCTCAGAGCAACCGGGGCTTTGCCAGGAAGATACAGAAATCAAAGAACCATCCTGACATGGGACAACATGCCAGGCAAAGGGAGTGAGAGTTTGGACTGCAACAGCAGGGCTAAAAAACTGTGGTCACAGGCAGGCAGCAAATTCTACCCTTAAGTAGCAACAAAGGACCCCAGAGCAGCTACGACAAAGCTCAGGGCGTGGGGCTGGACAGGAGCAGTGACATCTCCCTTGCACTGCTGGGAGAAGGGGGGGGGAGGCAGTTTGCCCCCCCCCAGAGCCCACACAGCCCTGACCATCCACACAGACCCACCCCGGGAAGAGCCGGAGGGTGCACCCCCTCATCTGCGGGGTGCCGCAGGGCTCTGGGCCGAGCTCTGGGCCCCGGCTCCAGCCCCAGGAGCTCCAGGGCCAGGGACTCTCCTTAGAAATTGCTCCGGCGGAGGAGCTGCTGGGCAGGAATCTCAACCAAGACACTTCCCCCGCGGCTGAAAGGCATGACGCTGTTTGAAGAGGAACCAGCCCCGTCTTTCACCATCGCTGCCCGCAGCCTCTCCTCTCCCAGGCAGATGTGTGCATCACCCCGCAGATGCCGCCTCCCTCCCCCCACGCACCCAGCGGGGACGTGGCCCTGCTTTACTGGCAAATAACCGGCTATTTGCTGGCAAATAACCCCTCCGGGAGCCCCTCGGCGTGTCCCTGCAATCCAGCTCCCCCTGTTCTGTCTGGGGCTTTATCAGACGGACAGGACAGACACCGGGACTGCAGACTCCTGCCCGCAGCGATAAGACCGAGAGCCGGCACGCTCTGGGGCTGCTTACAAAAGGTCACCCCAAGCCAGCCCGCGCTGCCCCAGACCCACGTCCCTCCTGTACTGCAGCCATCCGTCAACGAGGAGAGCGGCCACGAACCCGGCGCGTTAAAACCCGTGCCGCTTCCAGCTCCCCAGCTGTAACCCCGCAGCCCCGGGGGCTGGGTGCGCTCGGGCTCAAAAACCGGGTGACGCCTTCGGCACGCTCGAGTTGGCGAGCGCCACAAGCTCCACATCTCACTGCTTTACTCCTCACCCTGTGCAACTAAAACAGGTTCCTGTAAACAACCGCCTCCACCAGCGCTTGAATTTCGGAGCCTCGGGCCAAGTGCTCGGTGCTGAGCTGCTCCCTGGGACCAGCGGTCCAGAGCGAGCGGCCCCTGGGAGGAACAGCACCCTAAATAATAAGGGGTGACCTTCGGGAGCTGAGGGGTGTATGCCGGAGATGCTCACCTGCGGGTTTCCTGTTGTACTTCAGCACTTCGCAGAGCACCAGCTTGTTGGGGTCCAAGCAAAAAGGGTCCCTGAACATGCGGACGGGTACCAGGAACATGTCGCTGTTGGAGCCCTCCGCCTGCGCCGTGCTGGAGCCATCGAAATTCCACTCGGGGACATCTGTGAGGCAGGAGGGGGACAGAGCGGGGAATGGGGTTGAGGAAAGGTCTCTCTCATACGGATCGTGCCAAGTGCTGGAGGCTTAGGCCCAGGACGGAGCGCCCAGAGGGCTCTGAGTGCTGCAGGACGACGGCCACAAAGGTTTTCTTGCACATTCCCGGAGCCCGGCGGTGCTCCCTGAGCATCAGTGTGTTCACTCTCCCCAGCACCAGCAGGGCACAGGCAGGATCAGCCCCAGCCACTTCACCTCCCTCCGCCAAACCCCATCCGGATGCCAACGCGTCTCCATGCCTGTTTGCCCGGTGGAAAGGGGCGAGGACCTCATCCTCCCCTTCCCACCCAGCGCTAACAACAGAGATTACGGATTAAGCAAACCGCAGCGACACAGGCCGGATATTTACTCTGCCGCTTGATATAACCCCGTGAGACAACTGCAGCAGCAGGTACCACCAGCAGCAT